AAAAAAAAACCCACTCAAAATGTCTGAAAACTGAAATTGCCTTCTCAAGTTTAATCTGTACTTTTGCTTTAGGAATGTTTAGATGACAGCAAGAGAAGAGAAATATGAAGAAAAAAAGTATTTCTGTCAAAGTATCAGTGAAAACTAGGTAAAAAACTAGAGAAACCAGAAACCAGCTTGCTCTTGAGAAATTTCTAGACAGTTTCCAGACTTACCCAAACTCAACTGTTTAAATTTAGAATTGTTTCCACAGCACATTCCTAGCCCTTAACACATCACCAACATCTCTTGTGCACAGACAGGAAGGTTAAGATAATAGATTTTGTTTTGTGCCTTTCAAATTATACTCTGAAAAAGAAGTTGAAAATGGGTGAAAAGATTTTGTGATTTTTTTTGGTGTTAGGTTTCAGGTAAAATAAAAAAGTGATGAAGGATCTACATTTTTGGAAACCGCTGAGCAGCCCTAGCTTSGAATTTAAGGTTTCCCATTCTGCAGTACTGGTGGGGTAGCAGCTTGTGTGAAGTCAGACTGTGGGATTTACATGCCATGTTAAAGTAATAGATAGCTGGATAGCTAGGTGGAAGGTGGGGCAGCCTGGAAGGGGTTGCTGAGTGATACCCATCCTCTCCTTGAGCACTCCTGCTCTTTCAGGTATCACTCTTTATATCTAACTCCTTACCTGTTTTACAAGTAGTGTTTTATTCTTGCACAGAATGAAGCGTATCCTTCTTGCAAAGCACAGCCACCACCGAGATGGTTCATCTGCCAAGTGGGGAAAGCACTGGACTATGCACCTCTAGTAAATTATTAATTACTACCTTGACCTCTTTCAAATGGCACTCAAGCATGTGCTGAGCTCGTGTGTGCTGAGGCACTGGTTGGACTGAGGATGCCTTTCAGGAGCAGGACTTGGAACCAAAGGGATGCTACACCTGTCTCTGGTCCTGATTTCCTCGAGTAGAAAAGCTTTTCTGTTGCCAGTTCTGATCAGGGCAAGCCACGTGGTCGCAAGGGTTAACACCACCCAACAAGTGGTGGCAGTGAAATGGGTATGGCATTTGGCAATTTTACACCAGACCTGTGTAGCTCTTGACACACAGATGCTTTATGTTACTTAGCTGACTTCTAGTGAGGTTGGATGCTGGAGGCGTGTAAAGCTTTCTTCCTCTTCGCCAGTAAAAACAAATGCTCTCTGTGCACAAAAAAAGGCCAGCAACCAATGCAGTTTGGAGAGYTCTTTTTGGAAGGAGACAGACCTGCCCTCATCTATGAGCTGCTGCCTTTCCAGACAGCACAGAGCTCAGGTTGTTGATTTAGGCAGTGCTCAGACTGTTTTAATTTCAGCTGCCAGCATAATTTGTCAGGATCCACAGACAACAGTCAGCAGGGTGGGGCTCAGCCCCTCTGCAGTTCCTAATAATAGCAGTGACTGGCAATCAGCTGGAGATTTGGGACAGCAGAGATGTGTTCAGATATTTCCAAAAAATTACATACCTTGAAAGAAAGCCCTCATTTCACCAGCAGAGGACTAAATAAAAGATGCATTCCAGGTTTTGGGGGATATGTCATTGTCAGCTCTAATGCTTCAGCCATGTTTCCTTGCCATGCAGAGTTGCAAGCACCGCAGCCGAGGGAAGTAACCTGGGCAAGTCACGGCTGAGGAGACCCTGTTAAGAGGCTGAACAGTGCAGCCAGGAATTAGACAGGCTTGCCGTGTAATTGATTGCGGTGGGGGGAGCGCGGAGCTGCCCGGGGCGCTGGCTGCAGTCACAGCTGCAGTCTCCTTAGGGCACAGCGCAGGGCGAGCCTAGCCATTAACCAGCTCGGTGCCACGGCCGAGTGACCGCCCTGTCCCAAGGGAAAGGATGCACCAGCAGTACACACCCCATCCTTAACCTCCCGCGGAATAGCTCTGCTCTTCGCCACGTGCCCGGCTCTTGGAAACGCTCCCGCTGACAGCCATGGGTTTTTTAAGGATCCCCAGTCATCCAAATGTTTCCCGTTTGGAGCGTAAAGCAAGCATTTGGCATCCAAGGTGTCACTAAATTTACGATAAGTGCAGCACGGGGGACTGGAGCGTCTCATGAGCTGGCATTGGTACAAAATTGCTGTCTTGGATGTGTTGGCCGGTTCTGGCAGCTCTGTGCAGATAGTATTTGAGAGTTAAACTCTTATCTCTTTTGAATCCTTGACTACATTGACATAAAAAGTAAGGCTCAGTTGTTAATGGTATATTGATTYTTAGTAAATATAAGCATATGCGAGCAGTTGCTACATTTTAGAGAAATAGGCTCCAGAAGTCTGATTCAGCACGGAAAACTGCATGTTCCAGGCTGCTCCCTGTGGCACAGATACCTGCTGTACTAGAAATGTACATAAATGCACCTCAGCTTCACCAAAATCTTAGCAAATTGTTCTGATGAAGGAAGTAACTTCTAACCAGACAGGTACAATAAATAAAATGTTTTTTAATAATGCCTTCAAAATAATTTTTTTTAAAAAATAAAGAACAGCCTAAAAGTAACACTTCTTAAAACTGTCACTGGATCAGTAAAACACTGAGAAGTATCCGTTCTTTGTGTAAATTTACAGTTGTTATTGCTGAAGTTTCAAAATGTATAAGATTTATACTAAAATAAGATAAAACGATAGGGTATAGACTGCATAGGCTGTCTGAAACTCATCAGTGAGATAGAGACCTATTCATGCTTTTCATACTTTAGCTTCGGATTATCAGATTGCCAGCTTCCTGGTTCCTTGAGGRAAAACAATAGAATTGAAGTGGTTTATGAGTATTCTCTTCCTTATMATGAGTGATATTGCTTATGAGGCTGGTCCAAGATTTTGGTGAGACTGATGTGTCACAGACCTCCTTGTCTGTGAATATGTCAGTAATTCACACTATTCCAGATGAGTTGTTCCAGAATCAATAAAGCTTACAGCATAGGCAGCTCTTTACTTTTTTTTTTTTTTTCCTAGGCTTTTAATATACTAATTAATAATTCTGAAGGGGTGTTCTAAAGATTATTCCACTTTGGAGAATGAGCAGATGAAAAACCCTGCTGAACTGGAGAAAGCTGGTMGGAGCTGACTTTTATCACTCTGCCACAAATCTCAGAGATTAATTTCCCTCTGCATTTGTCCTCTGTATCTCAGGACTACACTGTACCATCCTTCCTTGCCTGTGAACTCACAATCCTTGAAAGCAGCCCTGAGACGCAGATCTAAGGGGGAAAAAAGTGGTATTTTGATGGTCCAAGTACCCAGAGATAGTTTCTGCTACATTTTGGTCAGTGGCATTTTAGAGCACATTTTAGAGCAAGCCACCATGCTGGCTCAAACATGTAAGAAAACAAAAATAATCATTTGTCTGTGTTAGTTAGAAAGCACACGTTCACTGGTAAAATAAACCAAATTTGCATTGAAATGGATAACACTAACCACCTGACTATGGGCAAGTCATAGGTGAGTGGTGGAAGGGCAGCAATGTGGTTATGTACTGTCACTATCTATATGGGTTGGAGAGTGGTTTGTCTGAGCTCATCCATGTGCCACTGAAGTGAAAATGAGAGTTTAAAATGATGCTGGCATATTAATAGTCTTTTTCACACGGTGTCTTCAAAGTGAGGATTCTTAGCACCTGGTACTTACCAAGTGCTGGATAGCAGTTCTGAAGAAGAAGTGATAGTGGATAATGCTGTGAGCATTACTCAGCATCTCATCTATCATGGAAAAGGCATTGTGTGTGTGTACATATATATATATGTGGTAATATATATGTACATATATAAATAAATTAATAAGAGTGTGCATGTGTGTGTATGTGTGTATATATAAGGGCATGGTATGCATATATAAATATATAWATACACACAGACACATAAAATGTTGGTTTATATATTCAGGAATGCTGTTTGTTAGGTACATGGTGGTTTGGTCAGACACATGCTGGATGTTAGTGTCCAAGAAATCCATGGGCAGAGTGGAAGAAAGTCCAGGAGARTCAGATATGATCAGAAGTGGAAGAAAATGACTGCCAAGGCAAAACAGAATTGTCTGGTCTGGTGAAGAAAATACCAAGGTTTAGCTGATCTGGATTAAGAGTAGAAAAACCTTCTGTATTCCTTCCAGGGTGGACCACCAGTGYTTTTGCTTGTTCTCAGATGTTTCTCAGTCACTGAGTGATAACTAGTCTGCAGCCTGATGCTTCTKCAGCCAGTCATTTTCCTTGCAGTGCCAAGCACAATGCTTTCCTGAGATTTGCTAGCTGGCTGCTAGATGGTTGCAGGTCCAGAAGAGCAATTAACCCAACTGCCGTGGAAGAAATGAAGCTGGATTAGTTTACTTTGCATTTTGAATAGACTAAGTGTGTGAGTAGTCAGGCACTGGGGTTCAGATATGTTCAGTAACCTGATCATGTTCGAGAACATAAAATTGCCTTTCTTCCTCTAGGAGAACAGCCAGTCCCTATTCTTTTCTGCATCAGGGCCCTATTCTGCTTCCAATCAAGTTTGTAAGAATTTTGGTGCTAGTTTCAGTGGTGAGCAGGAGCAAACCCATACTAYCCTCATAGTTATTCACACCATTTCTGACTGTCATCACAAATGCCAGATCTCTGCCAGATCAGACATGTAGATCAGACTTCCCAGGACAAAGTAGAAGGATGAGTAGGGAAGCTAGAGTCACCATTTGTCTAAATCTGAGAGTTTCATGTTTTGCCGTTTGTCACATGTTTGTATCAGCAGTACAGAGGCACAGTTGGAAAGTGCCTAAATTCACCTGTTGAAAGTTCAGCTTTTTAAGTCAGGAAAAAAAAAAAAAAAAAAAAAAAAAAAAAAAAAAAACAAACCCTGGATTTTAAGCTCCATCTGTTCTTGTTCACTCACAGGAGAAAGCTGGTTTTGACTGCTTGGTTCTCATAATACCCACAGCTTTTGACATCTTGCTTTTTATGTTACCAGGAGTGCAGATATATCTTTGCTAGAATAAGCTTCCCAGGCTTTAACTGCGCTTTGCAAGGAGCTGTTTTTTCAGTATAATTTTCAACAAAAGTCTTTTCTCTTGATACAAATATGACAAATGGGAGCATGGGTTCAGGGAATTCTGGAATAAAGAAGAAAATGGTAGTAATAGTAGTATCATCTATTTTATCTGTTCGGGGGGGAAGAGAAAAAATTTAAAAGAGGAGATATTTTCGGTTGCAGTGAAACCATGTTTGCAGTTTCTTTGTTGATCCTGGAAGATGTGAAACTGTGAAGGTTCAGCAAGCTGAAATCTCCCTAAAGTCCTAGCCTAAAACCAAAGGGGATGAGAACCCTGCTCTTCAGCAAGTTCAGAATTAAAACATCAATACTGTAATTGAATTTAATTGTTTTTCTTTTTGCCCAACCCAAATTGGATTTGAATTGCCTTTGCAAAACAGCCCAAAACTTTGCACTGAAACTTTGGAGCAGGTCCTTAGGACCTGTTGGGGGCTGGAAAACAAATAGTGCATAATCTGTCAGGCAGATATATTGTCAAAGGCCTCTAGAAAGCTCAATTTCAGGCWTATTTCTTGGTGGCTATGTCTTTATCTGTATGTGCAGCAAACCTTTCAGCAGGTTCTCAGATTATAATACAGGCTTACAGATTTATCTTTCTCTATTCCTGTGTTTTAAAGCAGCTCATATCGTATTTAAGAAACTGATCAGAGAGAGCCTTCACTGCTGATGTTCTGTTAATATTGCACTCCATTTCAAGCTATTTGTCCTTTTTTAGAATAATT